TGTGCTCACCCACGTTGACTGTGCGTCAGGTTGACATGTTGTCCAGGATGTCACTGAAGACTCGAATGTTGCGTTTCCTCAAGTGTTTGGCATCATCCTGTTTATCAACAATCAGTGAAGGCTTGGTAATAATCAATCAATCAATCAATCAATCAATCAATCAAACAATCAATCAAACAATCAAACAATCAATCAAACAATCAATCAAACAATCAATCAATCAAACAATCAATAAGCCATGATTAACCGATCAATCAATTATGTAATTACTAGAAAGGGCAACCAGAATCCATTGAACAATGTCAACCATCAAGAAGTCATCAACTTGCCAACCACTATGCAGAGGCAAAAGGAAGCGACTACGTTTTACAACAACTATTAACAATATCGGCACATGGAATGTTCGCGGCATGAACATAGGCAAACTCGAAATCATCAAGCAAGAAATGCAACGACTTTATATCAATCTGTTGGGCATCAGCGAGCTTCACTGGACGGATAATGGATATTTCAAAAGCGATGAATACACCGTCGTCTACTCTGGAAACGACACCCTCAAACGCAATGGAGTGGCATTCATCGCAACAAAAGCAGTCAGCAAAGCCGTATACTCTTTTATCATTGCTAGCGATCGAATTATATCCATACGCATCGCTGGAAGCCCCCGCTCAATCACGGTTTTACAAGCATATGCACCAATAGCAGATGCACCAGAGAAAGACATCGAAGATTTCTATACCAAACTCCAAGAGACAATCGACCAGATCCCAGCTCGTGACATAATCTTTGTAATGGGAGATTTTAATGCGAAAGTCGGATCAGGTGAAGACTTGCCTGTCGTCGGCAAATTTGGTCTTGGTGAACGAAATGACGCAGGAGATCGCCTGATCCAATGTTGCACAGAAAATCGTTTCTGGATCATGAACACTTGGTTTGAACAGCAGAAACGAAGGCTGCACACTTGAACAGCACCAAACGGTATACATCGAAACCAAATCGACTACATCCTATGTCAGCGCTGCTGGAAAAGCTCAATACTAGCAACGAAAACCTATCCAGGCGCTGGCTGCGGCTCCGATAATCAGCTACTGGTTGCTAAAATCAAAATTCGTTTCAGCACCATTAAGAGACCTCAAGCATTACGCCGCTTTGACACAGACAACATCCCCGCCCAATACGCAGTAGAAATATAGAACAGATTTGAGGCATTCAGCGATTTCAATGAAGAACCTGACAAAATGTGGGAGGAAATCAAATCGATCGTGGGAAAAACAGCAGAGGAAATCATCCCGTTCAAGAAATCAATAAAAAGATCGAAGTGGCTGACGGACGAAGCAATCAAGATTGCCGAGCATCGTCGCATGGCCAAGGCAAAGGGGAACATCGAGGAATTCCGACTACTCAATGCGGCGTTCCAAAAAAGGGCCAGACAGGACAAAGAAGCATACTGGAACAACCAATGCGAGGAACTGGAAAAGGCGAACCGACACGGTCATACCCGTACTCTTTTTACCTATGTCAAGCAGGCCAGAAAATCATTCACGACATGCAAAGTGTCTACCGTCAAGGACAGTGATGGTACAATATTGCAAGAAGAGGGGCAAATCAAGCGACGATGGCGAGACTATGCAGAGGAGCTATACGCTAGCAATCCATCAATCCAACTGGTTGTTCAACCCAAACAGATTGATCTGGAACCAGACATCCTGGAAGAAGAAGTCAGTTGGGCTCTAAAACAACTACCAAACAGGAAGGCCCCAGGCACGGATAATTTACCAGCAGAACTACTCAAGCCAATACCAGTCAAAATCCTTACCAAATTGTGTCAGAAAATCTGGAGCACAAAATCATGGCCCAACGACTGAACAAGATTAGTTTTCGTCACTCTTCCTAAAAAAGGCGATCTACAGGAATGTTCCAACTATCGAACTATCGCGCTCATCTCCCATGCCAGCAAAATCCTGCTAAAGATTATACAAAACCGCATTGTGGCAATCATGGAACGGGAATTACCAGATGTTCAGGCTGGCTTTCGCAAGGGACGAGGCACGAAGGATCAAATTGCGAACCTACGCTGGATCATGGAGAAAGCTAGAGAATACCAGAAGGACGTCTATATGTGTTTCATTGACTATACCAAGGCGTTCGACTGTGTGGACCATGACAAACTCTGGACGTGTTTGAAACAAATGGGCGTACCAGATCACATTGAACAACTGATACAAACACTGTACTCCAATCAGGCAGCAACTATCAGAACATAGTATAGTAACACCGATTGGTTCAAAATCGGTAAAAGCGTCAAGCAGGGATGCATTTTATCCCCAGCTCTGTTTAATTTATATGCCGAAGCCATCAAGCGACGATGCAATCTGGACGAGACCACAATCGGAGTCCAACTTGGAGGTAGGACTATCAACAACCTGCGATATGCGGATTACACAACTATACTCGCAGAAAGTGAGAAAGACCTAAAATATTTGATCCAACGAGTTCAAGAGGAAAGTGAACGCATGGGACTGTACCTCAACATCAAGAAAACGAAAGTAATGACAACGGCATGCAATGATGCAGTAAACATCAAGATCAACGATGAACAGATCGAGACAGTACAAGATTTCATTTTCCTGGGAGCCAAAATTGACTGAAACGGCGAATCTGGACCAGAGATCAAAAGGCGGATTGCACTCGGCCGGGCTGCAATGCAAGGAATAGATAAAATCTGGAGGAGCAAGGATGTGAGCATTGCAACGAAAACGAGACTCGTCAACGCCATTGTCTTTCCCATAGCAACTTATGGATGTGAAAGTTGGACAATCAAGAAAGCGGAAAGAAGGATCGACGCTTTTAAACTTTGGTGTTGGAGAAGACTACTGCGTATCCCCTGGACCGTATCAAGCCAAAAATGTCGCTTAAGTGCAAAATCGTCAAACAACAACTCTCCTTTTTCGGTAAAGAATACGTTTGCTTGATACAATCACATCGGCCACCAAAATGACGATCTCAGAACTCAAAATAATCGTCGAGGACAGGAACGCATGGAGAAGACAGATCCATAAAGTGGCCGAAAGTCGACTTCGACTAAATGGCTAATCATCATCATGCAGAGGCATACAATCAGGTATTAACAAAAACACAGCGACCAATCTAATTTGACAGACATTAACAAATCGGCCACTGACCAACAAACCATTCAATCAACCACCAAACAATCAACCAATGGACAAGAAATCACGCAAATATTCGACCAGCTAATAGTCACCCACCTTCTCTTTCTTTTCCAGCTGATGCATGATGTCATCATATATCTCCCTCCTCTCCCTTTCTTGAACATTCTTCCACACATCCAAATCTCCCAAGAGCGCTTCTGCCTTCCTGTATGTAAACATGTACGAACAGATGAACATGTATATGTATAAACATGTGAACGAGCGTAAACATGTGAACATGTAAACGTGTGAAGTACATGTTTGCTGCCTAAAAAAATTTAAGCAGCTAACCAATCAACTAACCAATCCATCCACGAATCAATCGAATAAATAAATAACCCATAGGTTAAACAAAGCTGGTTTAATGGTTATAAATAAAATGTTGCAACAAACCAGATAGCAAATTCTCAGAGACATTAATATGCTAAAACGTAGCTTCATTTAAACAAATTAAAGAAATATTCAATGAAATAAAACGCTTGTTAAGCCGTTGCAGGTTAATTCCTTTTCAACCGTACTTTGCCATAATGTTACAATAACCACGCCAGGTAAAGCGAAATACTAATGCATTGGAAGGTAACCTGTATTTAACTGAAGAGTTGATCGTATCACTGGACATCAGAAACTTCTCCAAATCTTCTTTTGCCTGCTTCAGTTTTAATCTATGTTCTTCCTGTTCAGTATATCATCATCATCATCATCACCACCATCATCGTCACCATGCTTCCGCTCAAATGGTCATTATCACCAGTAGCAAGAACACGCCAACACTATCATTACCATAAAACCTCTGACTAACTCATTATGATGACCACTTTCATCATCACCGTGATTATCAATACTGTCATTAAACATCCACAAACCTAAAGAACATCAACATAAACATGCACCAAGCAAAGAAAGATGAACCTTTTCTTCTTTGGCTCTCTGCGTCTTGTATGCATTGAATGCCTGTTTTTTCTCATTGAGATGTTTAAGAGCGGAGTAGTGTGGGTCATTGATGATCATTTTCATTGCCTGCTCCCAAGTACACTGAGATGAAACTCCCTGAATGTGCCAGTTCGGTCATAATAGTCATCACTATCATCGTCATTATCACTATAATCATCATCAATATCATCAGCACCATCACTATTATCATAATCAGCATCATCCATCGCCGTACACTCCTCAATAGCATCGCCCTCAATATGCCCAACAAAAGAATGCCAAAACATCAGCCACCACCACTGGTGGAATATTCCACATGCAAAAATCATCCACTGCTTACGTTTTTAGACTTTCACATGAAATATAGTAAAATTTAATTATATTCAGTTTTGACCAACGGGTTGAAACAGTTTGACAGATGAACGAACAAAAACTAAAGTGAATGCGATCTTGCTGGAACTTGTTTAAAAAGAACAAACAAGCAGACGAAACAAATAATTTCCAAAGTGGAATCGTTATTATTAAGGGAACATTTGAAAAGAGCCTTCAAAAAATATCATGAAAGTGATGTGCTCCACATGTGAAGGAAATAAAAAAAAATGCTTTTAAAAAATGGGAATAACGACACACGTTTAGACGGCATTTTCCCCGAGATCGGGGGTTGCCGTTTGGCTACCTATGATGAAACCGAAATACCCCTCGACGCCATCCACATCTGTCACTCGCCTCAGTATCACGCAACCCCGCTTTCACCCTGTCCTTCTCCACCTGCTCTCTCCATCCCAATCGCGGACGACCCCTTCCTACCACTCCTTCAACCTCGAACTCCAACGCCCCCGACCCTTTCATCCCTTCTCAACACATGTCCATACCACCGCAATCTCGATCTCCTTATCAATGTCACAATGTCCTCATTCAGTCCCATCATTGACATCAGCTCTGTACTACTCCTCCTATCCTTCACTTTAACCCCACACATCATCCTCACCATAGTTCTTTCAGCCCTCTGCAGTACACTTTCCTCCTCTCTCCTCAACACCCAAGTTTCACCACCATATACCATCGCTGCTCTCACACATGCTTTATATACCCTCCCTTTCATTTTCACTGACCATTTCTTTCCACACAATACCCCACCCAGTTCCCTAAATTTCATCCATCCCACACGAACTCTAGCCGTAACTGCGCTCAAACATCCTCCATCCGCATTCAGCTTATTCCCTAAGTAAACAAAGCTTTCCACTCTTTCAATACCACCACTCAACCCCGTCCTTGCGTCCGTCCTATTAATCACACCATGAACACATTTCTTACATTTGAACGTGCCTTCCACCTTTTTCAGTGCCCCCCTCAAACCACTACATCTCTTATGCACCCATTTCTGACATCCTATACACAACACCGAGTTAGCCTTCACTCTCCTGTCACATACCCCACAGGGGTCTATTTTACTTATCACTCGCTCCCCACCTTCCCCACTCACCATTACCTTCGTCTTACCAATATTAACTTTTAACCCTTTCTTTTCAATAACACTTTTCCATCTGTCAAATTTTAACTGCAATTCTTCCAAGCTATCAGCCATCAGGACTAAATCATCTGCATACAAAATCTCAAATAACAACCCCTCCATTATGTTTCCACACACAACATCCATCACAATTGCAAACAGAAACACTGATCCTTGATGCACTCCTACCTTAACACTAAAAGCGTCCGACATCCCCCTTCCAACCCTCACCTTTGTCTTTGCCCCTTCATACAGCTGCATCACAGCTTTAACAAGTCTCTCATTCACTCCTTTCTTCCTCAACGCCCATTCAATGACCTTCCTCGGTACTCGATCAAAAGCCTTTTCTAGATCCACAAAACACATGTACAATCTTCGTTTCTTCTTTCTATAATTCTCCTGCAACATTCTCACCATGAACAACGCATCCACCGTTCCCCTACCAGGCATAAACCCACACTGCATTTCATTAACTGTCACCATACTTCTCAACCTCCTCTCAAGCACCCTCTCCACTACCTTCATTCCGTGCTCTAGTAATTTCACACCCCTATATGACCCACAATCTCTCATCTCCTTTGCCCTTATACAACGGCACCAACACACTGTGTCGCCAATCCTCAGGTATACCTTCATCATCAAACATACTGTTAGCAATTCTCATCATAACTTCAATTCCTATCACCCCACTCGCTTTTATATGTTCTGCCGCCACTTCCGAAACCCCTGTAGCCTTACCTAGTTTCATTTCTTTAACTACTTTCTCTACTTCCTCCATCGTCACCTTCTCTATAGGTCCGTGTGTGACCGCGGATTCCACATCTCCATCCCACTCATTCTCTTCATTCATCAACCACACCTGAGCTTTTTCCTGAGCTCATTCCACACCTGAGCTTTTTCCTCCTCATCTATGCACAACTTGCCAGATCCATCCCAAACACATCCATTCCCTATAACATCTTTCCTATCCCTCATTGACTGCTTTGCTACTTTGAACATTTTCCTCGAACTCACATCAAATTCCATTTCTTTCATTAACCTATCTGATGCTTTCGTCATCTGATGCTTGTGTCTTTTAAAAAATGGGAATAGTAAACAATTTTTGAAGCAGATATTATAAGAAAAGATAAGAAACGTAACTAATTTCTGGCGTACCTTCTCTTTGAGGAGTGCCTTGAATGCATCAATGGCGTCTTTCTTGTTCGAGAACAGAGCTTCTTGTTTATTGACGTCTGTGCTGTTTGGTTTTTCTGAGTGTGCTCGGTCGGCTGGCTCAGGAATAGACCTGCATGATGAACAATAATAATCATATCAACGCAACAAACACTTCAATATAAAACTTTCAATGTATTAAAATTAATAAAATTAAATTCTCATTATAAACTTGGATTACTTTAAAGAAGTAGTGGAAAAAGTAAAACAATTACAAATTTAAAACAAATAAAATTATGAAATTACAAAAACACCTAAAGAGAATGAGAAAATAAAAAAAACAATGGTAATTATTTATTAATTCATTAAATCATTCTAATGAATTAATTAATTATCATTAATTAATTAATTTATTTATTTATTACAATTCTCCCTTCAATATTTGTCAGAGGTCTCAACGACAAGCACACAGAATAGAGGTGTAAATAGACGTGAAATAGAGCATCAGATGCATTGCACGTGACAGGCGGAAACAATCAATCGAATGCGGCCAGGCACTACAGCGGCGCCCATAATTACTGCATTACGCAGAGGTATCAGCAACCTCTTGCATTCGAACAGAGCCACTGCAGCTTGAAACTCTCCATCACGTTGCCGTCAAAATAGCATAATAAAATATTCATTAAGATAATGAATTAAAGAATGAAGTACCCAGTTTACAATTGAATATAAGTCCGTCGCCAGCGTTATATTAATTTTAATATTTAATTTTTTACAACCCCCTCTTTAGTATATCTCAGAGGCACCAATGACAAACCAACAGTAGAAACGAATGCAAGTTAATATTATTATTCGAAAATTTGTATAGCGCTAATTACAAGCAAAATGTTTCTCAAAAGCACTGTCTATAAAAACAGTTGAATTGCTACTGTTAAACAAAATCTTATAATGAAAACAAAAATGATTTCAATAATTTCTTAAATGATTTTTCTGTCAGTTCGGGCTGTCTTAGATAACTTGGTAGACTATTCCAAACGGCTGGTCCACTTAATGAGAGACTTCAGTGAATGCAAGTGAATCAATGCATCACTCATTGCAGGTATCTGTTTGCATTTGAAACCAGTCACTGCAGTAGCAGTGCTATACACCTTAGCCTCTACACCATCATGCCGTCCAAATAAAACAAATAAATGATTGATATAAGATTTTTTAGAATGAGTATAAAGTTCTTGATTTGCATTCAATTATTTTAACTGTGCAAATGTCCATAAATATCCATTAATATTGTACAGCCATATAGGATGACCTCAATGCCATGAACCATGGGAAGAGTTAACAAAAACAAAAAAGTGAAAGATAGTGCAGCAGATGACAATGAAAATGATAAATGGAGCAATGAAATACTTTGTGGAAGTGACTGGAGGAGCAGTGGCAGAAGACTGCACAGGCATTTCAATGGATCCAAGTGTGGCTTGCATGGCTTTCTCAATGGCATCAGATGGCTTCAACGAAGTAGATGAAGATGAGGATGATGTAGATGAGGAAAATGTTGACGTCGTTGCTGCTGGCGTCAGCTGCTGCTGCTGAGGTGCTGATGCTTCCACTCTGTTAGTGAAGAATTAAAATTACAAAATTATTATGGTTGTACAACTAAAGTAAACAACTTCCAACAAATAAATGGAAACAATTATATTAACAAATAGTTAATAAATAAAACTTACAAATGAAAAACTTGCAGAATGCAATGTCACAAATGCAAAATAAAAAAAGATGAATAGAAAGAACGGAAGCAAGGAAGTAATTAAACAAATTAGATTGTAAAATTTTGTGCAAAAAATATGAAAACATCTCAGGAAGGAATAAAATGGAGTTATGCTGAGTGCTGACTAAATATTTTAGTTATAACAAAAATTATTTTAGCTAAAATAAAATATTTTTAAGTTATAATAAAAATTATTTTAGTTATAATAAAAATTATTCTAGTTAGCAAATGTAGAGATGCAAAATATACTATTAATTACAAAATAAAATTAATTAATTAGAACTACTAACTTTGATTTATCGTGACTTGCCATTAGAGCTAAAAATGAAAAATTCAAATAAATTCAAATAAAAGCAGACCATCAAAATTTTACATAATTTTCATTCACTCACATACATTTCTAGAATGGAAATTTTCAACATTCTAAAAAAGTGAATGCATCATTGCAAGCAAACTTCTTATTGCAAAATTTGTATAAAATTTTGATCTGACTAAATGTGCAAGCCGGCACAGGAAACCTTCAATCTCTTCCAACTCTTTCGGCTTGGCCCATCTGGATTCTTTGGTTAGAGAGTTGTGGTAGTACACCTTCCCGTTATCAGCCTTGTGTTCTTTCCAAGGGCATTTTGATAACAACAACTGTTACATAGAACCATAGCAACTTAAATTAAATTATACATTTGTAATTTGATGAAATTAAATCAAAAACAGAAAATGTAGTAACACAAAATTGAAATAAAATAAAATTATAAATAAAAAAAGAAAAATAAATAATAATGAAAATGTGTAAGATAGAACCAATTGCCATGTACGAACCTCAGCCTCGGTTTTGAATTCATCAGGTTTCACCCACGTCGACTGCTTAGTCTCACTGTTGTAATAATAGGTCCTGCCATCTGGTGACTTGTGTTCAGACCAGGGAGACTAATAGAAATAGAAATTTAAATGCCATAGTTAAATAAATCTCATAAAAATATTACATTAATGCAGACTATATAAAGTGTTATTAATGATACATTATCACAAAAATGATTAGTTGATTGTAAATTTGAATATCAATTATTAATATTAATTGTTAAAAATAAGGAGAAGAATGAAAAAATTATTGAAAAGAGATTTTAAAGGCTCAAAAATCATTAAATGGCAAAATTTTTTTTAAATAATCAAACAAAAAAGTACATAATTTTATGCTAGCTTATTAATTATTTGTAGAATTCAATAATGGACATCTAATGAGAAGTGAAATTTAAAATTAACATTAAGCAGTTAGTTAGGGTTAGAGACCCATATGTGAATTCTCAATGTAAATTTTACCAAAAATAATATATAAAACAGATATATGATAAATTTAAAACTCTAACTTTTTTAGGCACATCTAAAATCGGCAGATCTGAAAAAAAATAAACACAATTAGAATCTTATAATTCCTATTTTATTTTATTTGAATTTAATAATCATAAATTATTTTTAAAATTGGTAAAATATTGAAATTAAAATAATAAGTTAAACTAATTATTAAAACTTTTTATAGTTTATCTTATAATAGTCATAGAATCTATGACTCATAGATATAGAAAGTGACATAGTCTCTATTTATTTATTTTTTTATACACAAAAAATTATTATTTTTTGGTTTGAGTTTTATTTATTTATATTAAAAACTAATCTAATGCATAAATTAACTCAAACCAATTTTTTTATTTATTATCATTAAAAAATTTAAATATTAGTTTGCTGAATAATCAAATATTAATAAATTATAAATAAATAATTAATTTATTAATGTTAATCCTCCTAATTCAAAATTCAACAAATTGCATTGGACACTTTAAAGAAATAATATGATAGAGTGAATCTTATTATTTATAAAATTGTATTTTATTCACTTTCGAATTTCGTTAAATAAAAATTTTAAAACTTAAGAAGTTAAAATTTAAAAAAATAAATTGAAAAATTATTTATTTTATTATAAAAAAAAACAAATATCTCAAACTTACTAGTCGTAGCTGGAGTCGCCATGATTAATACTCTAAAACTTTGATTTAAAAAAGTAATTATTTAGAACGACAAATTATAAGTTTCGCCAAAAAAGAGTTTTTTAAAATTTCGACGGCACTTTCTTGAAACTCCTAAATGTCGCTCATCTGTTTAAAAAAAACAATAGACATAACATTTTAAAAATTCATTTAACATATATATGCAATGCAGTGTACGTTTATCAGCTCTTACCTCCCGTAACTTGGAGCGTCAAATACATTAATATATAATATACATGTAAAATGTTTTATTGTATACTAGATTTAAAGAGCGCATCTTGCCAGCAATCTTCGGAAGTGTTTTCTTGATTTTGACAGGTGGTGTTTTCTTGATTTTGACAGGTTAGACAGTGATCCACTTCATTGAGGTTTGATTATTTAATTTAGAAAACATTTTCAAATGCATTATATTACTGAGTATTGTTAATTTTGAAGCCCTTGCCACAAAGTTAAAAATCCACAACAGCAACATTGTCTGTCTGGATGTGTACAGACCTGGATCGATTTCACCTACACAATTGTATTTTGTTGAACATGTCTGTGTTGGAAGTAATTGCATTAATTGAAAACAACATTATATTTGCTGGAGAGTTCAATAAGCACATGGAAAGACACCACGACCACGGTGCTGCTGCGATAAGTGATGTTTTTGAACATTTTAATTTAATAAATAGAACTTCTGACACAACTCATAAAAAAGGAAGGAATTCGGAATTGATTGTTACTTCTAGTTCATTTCCTACCAAGGTCAAAGTTTCTCCAGTCATTTCTCGGATCATTTTTTGCTTTCGACGCATCTATCAACGAAACAAGATGTAAAACCAAGAATGAGAAAAACTGTTCGATTTTGGAAACAATGAATCATGATCAACTTGTTTCCTTGGTCCAAAATTCGCCAATTAGTAAGCCACGTTTTATGATGAATCCTGATGAATTGTTGCAGCTGTTTAATAGTGAAATGAAAAAACTTATTGATATAATGCTTTCTTCTCGTGGGATTGAAGTTAGAAATGATTTGTTGAAACCTTGGCTTGACTCTGTCGAAAAATGAAAGCGAAATGCAGAAAATTAGAAAAAGAATACAGAAAACGTTGAATGATAAAGATAGAAAAAACCGTGTTAGTGCTCTAACTATGAAGAGTTATACATTGCGCAAAAAAGAAACACTGCTTGGAAATATATAATTTGTCAAAATAGTAACAACCCGAAACGCTTATGGGCTTTTATTAATAGATTGTTGTGCAAAAATAACTCTAAGAATGCTTTAAAAAACACGACTAATCACTCAGCTCAAAAGTTCTTAAATCTCTTTGAAGAAAAAATAATAAAGTTAGAGATTCGACAAAAGAAGCAAGATGTCCAAGTTTTACTGATTTGGGAATTAGAGATGAAAATTTATTTTCTTATTTTCGAATGTTTTCTGAAGATGAAGTAGTTAGTGTAATACGTGTATCTAAATCGTTCACATAGGATTGTTTGCCGGCTCCACCCATCGAAGGTCCGATTCCAGACATCACTGTAGAGGAGTTTACAGAAGCTCTGAAAGCTATGAAGGATTGAAAGGCAGCAGGGCCCTCTGGACTCACAAATGACATCATCAAAGCATCTGGTACTGCAGGTATCCAAACGTTACTACAACTTTGCCGTGAAATCAGGAGAAATTGCTCAATGCCGACTGAATGGAATTATAGCATGACAGCCCCGCTATACAAAGACAAAGGTGATCCATTTAACCGTTCATCATATCGGGGTATACATCTGTTAGAACACTCCCTGAAAATTGTCGAGAAAATCATTGAGAAGGTTAACGTCGTGCATCACAATCGGAAATTATCAATTTGGTTTCCTAGCGGGGAAATCAACAATTGATGCAATTTACATCCTTCGGCAACTGCAAGAAAAGTACCTCACAAAGCATCAACAACTATCACACCTTTTTGTAGACCTTGAAAAAGCATTTGATCGAGTTCCCCGTGAAGCGATCAGGTGGAGTCTACGTCGACAACTCATTCCAGAATATCTTGTTCGACTTGTGATGGATATGTATACGAATACTAAGACTCTTGTCAGCACAACAGTTGGAAACACAGATGCATTTGACATTGGCGCTGGAGTTCACCAAGGCTCGATTTTCAGTCCACTGTTATTTATAACTGTGATGGAAGAAATCACAAAACCGATACGCACTGGTGACATTTGGAATCTAATATGTGCTGATGATATCGTTTTAACAGCCACGTCTGAGCAGAAAGCAGCACAGATGTTTGAAGATTGGAACACCAGACTCGCCGATCATGGATTCAAAGTCAACATCAGCAAAACCAAAGCAATGAACACTGGTGAACCCATCCAATCCACAGCTACTGGACGATGGCCATGTTCAGTTTGTAAAGCTGGTGTAGATAACAATTCAATCAAGTGTCAGCAGTGTAACCAGCGGAGTCACAAACGTTGTTCAAAAATAAATGGTACAATCGAGCAAGACATGAAAGCTCTAAATTTAAATGAAATGGATACAACTGATTGTCTAATTTGGTGCAAAAAGTTGATGGCAAAGAAAACAACGTCCTACATCGGGGAACCGGGACTCTGGACGCAAAACGAAGATTGATTGATTGAATTGTTTGCCGGCGAACATATTCAAGCAGCTTGTCAACTTGTTCTCCATTTTTTTTACCGGTTTTGTTAACCTGTGTTTCAGTTAAAGTTGAAATTAAAACATTTTATTCTTCCAGTGTTGAAAAAAGCAAGACATGAGTATAAATGATTTGAACAGTCCTAGACCGGTCTCAAACCTTTCATTTATATCTGAGATTATTGTGGATACTTTTAATTGCTGATTATTATTGTTGAATCATTATTTAAAATGAAGTATATTTAAAAATCCTTACATAGATAAAAATAAGACATATATGAACAAACGATAAAAAAATTCTAGCACTCAAAATAAAAATAATTACTTACTAATTAATTGTGGTGCGGAAACAATATGAAAAATCATCATAATTCATAAATAAATAAATATATAAATATATATATATATATATATATATGTAAATTAAAAAAATTAAAAAATTAATTTCATTTAACTTTCATCAAATTCCATATTTCGTTTGATATAGAATATTGAGACCTTTCTTCATCTGAAATTCTGATGTTTTCAAGGTTGTCAATTTCCGCAATGTCTAATTTAGACTTTGGTTAAAGAAATGTAAAATCTAAAAAGTATGAATCCAATAAGCCAAATAAATATTACGCACTTTTCAAGTTCAAAACGTTAACTCCATGTAAACATTTTTAAAGACAACAAACGTTTAATATAACTTCCAGATAATTTACAATTGTTAAAAAATGCATTTAAAATAAATTAACAGTCGTTGTTGAAAAAAAGCACCCAAATTTGGTGAATGACTAATGAAAGTATCAGGATTTATACATTAGACAAACAATTCAATAACATTCTAAATAGCAGTGTCAGGGTCAGATGAAAATTATCCGAATCAGACTGTGGCCTTTCATAAAATTCTGACTCCTGGTCCCCAAAAAAAATTTTCAACTTTTGCATCATAATTTTACCTTATTATCACTAGTAAATAAAAAATACTCTAAAAAACGCTTAAAATCACTCAATGTAATTTTTTTCTAAGTAAAATTACGGTATTTTTATGTTTTAAGACATACAGAAAAAATTTTTAAATTTTTCAATCATAATTTCACCTTTTTATCACCACTGAAAAAAATTACATGATTTTATTGACATTTTTTAGCATTTATTTTCAGTATTAAAAATAATTACCTATTGCTAAACACATTTATTTCACGAAAAACACCATCTTTAAAAAAATTTCAGAAAAAAAAAATTATAATATTTTCTGGAGTCAGATGAAAAAACCGAATCCGAACTCCGACTCTGACACTCTGCTAAATAGGAATACCACTGACCAGTCTAGAAATCATTATCATTTTACCATAGTAAAAAAGAATTAAATTGTGAGGCTTTATATGTAACAATTTTATTAGTTACATTAAAAAGGATACATCCTTCATTTGGAGAACATTCATTGGTCCACAATACACATGTGATTGATTGTAAAAGCCTTAACCTGGAACTAAAATAAGTATTAACGAAATTAAGTGAAAGATAAATCTAAAAATATTAAACAATTTGAATGAAAAAGAGTGTACCTAGGTATATATAATATGTGCCTTTTTATAAAAAAAATAGCTTCTTTAGAGTGTATATGCAAGCTGAAATTGAAATACTTGAAATACTGAAATTGTCTGCAAAAGTGAGAAGCTTTGAGAAACATGCTAGCATGCAGTATGACTCTACACAGTATGCAGTATGACGTGCAGTATGACATTAATATGACTACAACTTAATTTGACGGTATATAACAAAACACTAAACAATGTCTGAGATCACAAATTTTGATCATTTTAGTGCTCCTGCAAATTTCAAAGTTTGTCAACCTAAAATAAAAGAAAAAATTAACATCACCAGCACAACTGACATTAAATCTGAAGCATCATCAACGGCAGATTTTCCTTTCTTCATTTTTCCATTGGCTTCTATATTGGCAATGCATGCTTTCAAGTTTTCAAATTGTTTCACTTGCTTCCTCAACTAAAAAAGAACATGTTTACAAATTTTCAAGTTAGCAACAATAAATAACAAATTTTTACATACCAAATTTCTGCCCTCAATGAATTTTTCCTTTTGTTTCACAATTTCTTGTTTTTGTTTATTCATTAATTCTATCTTTGCCAATAGCCCAACATGGGCTTTTTCTAAATGTTGTTCTTCAGAATTCAGGGTGAACTGCAAATTTTCTGAAAAATTAAACAAATTGAATGAAATTGATTTAAAAATAAACAGAATTTGATGAAATATTACCCAATTGTCTCTTCTTTTCCAAAAAAGTGTCACAACATTTCTGTTGAAATGAAAAAAATATATAATTCAGCCACATAACAATTTATACTTTCAAACCAAAAACACAGACTATAAGAGGTTTCACACTTGAGCCATCAAGCAAACAAAAACTGATGAAACATTATTAAATGCCAACATAAATGACATTTAGAACTTATGAAAACTAGAAGTTGTAGGAGGCTATAAATAACTAATGCAATTATGCATAATAGTTTGAAAAGTAAAAAAAAGATGTATGCAAATATAAAAATTACAAATAAAAATATAAAAAATGCAAAATAATATAATGAAAAACAAATTTAATTTCAAAAACATTTTTTATTCTCATTTGTTCAATTTTAAATTTTTTAAAGTTGAAGTTTAACACCTTTAGTAATTAGTATGAATTTTAAAATATTTTGGATATTTCCTCATGAATAAACAGTGCCCAGTTGGTCACTCAGTTAGCTTAGTCAGCAGAAGGCTAGAATATTGTCAATCTGAAACTCAAAGATTATCATACCCATATAATGTGCTGCTTGCAAGTGTGTACATTACGTGATAACGTGAATGTGTGTCATGTGGTGTGGATAATATAGCTATTGTGGCAAGGGTCAATTATAACTTATAACTATTATAGCAAAGAATAAAATAAAGTCATGCAGTACAAACAAATAATGTGACAGAGTTTATTTCAAATCTTATTTTTTCATTTTATTAAAATAATATCTACCTCAATAGAAATAAGGAAATGAATAAGAATGGAATAAATCTAGAGATTCTCTCACTTACACTTCTGTAATGTAATGTAATGTAACAGAATCTGTGCTGTGAACAAATTTAGAAAGAATAATTGGAATTTTCATTTAACTTTACTTTACATCTCAACAGTAGAGTGAGTGACTAATATCTTAATACTACTATTGTTTTATTTAATTTTTATATTGATTTAATTAATTAATGACTAATCATTCAGTTAGGTTTAGTATTAGTACTAGTTTTTTCGTAAGATAGTAGGTAATGGAAATAGTAATAGAGATACCATGTTTCACATATGTATAAAAAATAAAATAAATAAAATATAAATAAGTTAATTCAAAATAAAATTAATATTAATTGGAGAGGAAAAACATCATAAATTCAAGGATTCATTTTTATTAATCATTCATTTTCTTTTTCAGACACTCATATTTTGAAATGTTTTCAAATTTCATAATCAAGAAGCAGAGAAGTTGATAGACAAAACTGGAAAACTAGTTTCAACACAACACAAAAACACTAACTGCAAACTCTACCCACCTTGGCCGTCATGACTAACTAGAGGACATGCAGCACAAGCAAACAAATGACGTCTATATAACCGGTAAAGTGTAAGAAGTACGTACGGTCCGCTCCAACAATCCCGCTATCAAAATTGAATTTGTTGTTTGTATGTAAACATGAAATCATCCACGATTCGACTTTAGTTTTTAAATATTTAGTCTATCATGGGATAAATCTATATTCTAAGAATCTAAGTATACGCTATCAATCAAGTCAAACATTCCTCCCTATCTACCTGCGCTTTGCCTAGACCTGTCAGCCAAATATTCTTAGAAGTTTCGACTGACTAACAAAATATCCCAGCTGAAAATTCGACTAGCAAATTATAAAAAAAAAGTTATACAGAACAGAGTTTATTTCCAACATTAGTTTTTCATTTAAAAAAAACTGAATAAATTTCATTTGGCGGCGGCTATATATAATAGATATATATATATATATGTGATAATTAGCATAAAGCGCTAAAGAGTGTTAAGAGAGTTTATGTGTTGTTAGCATATTTTCTGCCGGAATATTAGAATAACACGTACATGCTCCATTAAGCTATCGGAATTCATTTTTGATAAACCGTCCCTTGGCGGCTAATAGACGAATAATTTATCTGCTTATATTTGGCTAACGGCTGGCAATCAAAAGACTTGTTTAATTTTGTTTTTTACACACCAATCGCGTAGTTAATTAACGTTTGGAATAACTTGGAAAACACAGACAACAATTTGCAATATTTTTCAAAATAAATAAAGTACCTAAATTTTAAAAAATTATCACAATAATCTTCTTCATCATCGTCGTCAAAACCATCATCTCCATCTTCAGCATCATGTTCATCAATATGGAATTATAACAAACATTCAATAGTAAATTTGATTTACTATTTTTTCACTGTTAGGGACCGGCACGTTTCCAAAGGAGGGGTAGGGGGTTCAAATATTTGTGACAATTTGTGACGATGGGAGTGGGGGTACACGCAAGTGTGACGTCCCTTTGTTTTAAATAAACAAAACAATAAAAAAATTTCTTTCATAATATGCGCAAAATAAATGTTAAAGTTTTCTAGCGAGCTCATGAACGTTAATTAAAGGAAGAGTCAAATTTAGGTAAATCCCATCGTTAAAGTTTACCGCTGTGTGGGTGTAGGAGTTAATATTAATTCGTTATATTTTAACTACGGTAAAGCACTTAGATGTCAAACTATCGTCATATAAACTTGCCATTCGTTATTACGATATCAATAAAAATAAATAAAATACATAGAACAATTACATTGTTTAATGACTCTTCACTAAGAAGAGGGGGAGGCTAAAGTTTTGTGACATGCTTATTTTTGGGGGGTTGGTCGATTTGTGACACGGGGGAGGGTGGCGGTCAAAAAATATCAAAAAAGCGTGATATCCTTTGTGGACATCCCCTTAGTTATTTGATTCGACGCATGTACTGCACACCATGTGCTACATTTTGATGTACGGTTTATAATTTAACATTTTAAAAAAGTTTCGGTCAAAACATGGAATGTGCCTGAAGATTCGGATTCGGTTTCAGCCAACAAAAAAATCCAGTTTCGGTCGGATACTTAAAGTTATTAAAGAAATCAATAATAAAAAATCGAGACAATGTGCCACAATTTCAATACTCAACGTCCACGATCTCAACCATAGGAACCACGGTAGTAGAGAAATGACAATCGATAGCAATGGATATATGAATAATTAAATTCAAACAAAGATTATTATAGATTGCATCATATAATATTTTGTAAAAATTTTTCGTTTCAATTCCGTTTCAGTTATTTGAAAAATTTTCGTATACATTTCGTTTTTTAACACATTTTGTTTCCATTTCGCTTGTTTTAGTTTCCGTTAACGAAATCTAAACTAACGACAACTTAAAAATTAAAAAATTGTTCACTTCAAAATTTAAAATGATTCCTTAATTCATCAAAGATAAAAGTAAATTGACATCGAATATAATCACATTTTAAATTATTTAAAACATTATAAATAATGAGCAGAATAGCGATATCATGAAATTTAAAAATTTGCAATGCCCGTTTTTTTGTCGTAGACATTGAACGTTATATATTATCATTAAGTTCATACTGATAAGGTTTAGTCAGGATGTAAATGAGGACGAGTTTACTGCCATCTTCTTTATCCTCAATGAAGTAGTTTGAATCTTTCGCCTTTTTGGAGACAATATCTTTGCGGCAATATGGACAACTGCCATTGTTTTCGAGCCACATGTCCAAACATTTGAAATGGAATGCGTGTCTGCAAACCATTTCGTAGATGAAGGAACTCTGCACAAACTCTTTGCTGCATATGCAACACTCCTCGTTTATAAACTTGTCTTCTATGTACGGCAGAAAATATTTCATATTCTTTATTTTCTCGTGACGGAACGTATCCCTGTAAAAAAATTTTCCATTGAAATTAAAGCCATCAGCCGACATCGTCACGTCTATATAGTGATCTAATGATTCTTCCGCTAAAACACTAGAAAAATAAAAATCTTGTAACATCTTCATTAAAGAGTACTGACGATCAACTGGTAATGAGTTGAAATGTGACATTGTTCGGATTATGATATCTACTAAATTGGATTGGCCTATAGCTAACATATTCGAAAGCTTTTTCACTTCACAGTTTGGTAGTTCACAGTTGTTATCAATCAAATATCTTTCTAACTTGGCAATGTCTGGTCTAATTTCTTTTGAAATAAAGTCATTCAGGTAATTTTTGATGACTTCGTTAAAACAATTTCTCAATACGATTGCATTTGTGGCTTCCATAACGATCTGATTTCTATTTAAACTCCTTATGTTTCAAATTAAACACTTCTAACTTCGAGCCAGACTGATGATTGAATGTTCGAAACATTACCAACTCCTCATTTATTTAGCAATTGAACAAAGAAAGTTCAAAAAATCACGTGAACGTTTGTTACTTTGATTGGCATGTCTTTGAAAGAAGTGACGTCCAAACTTAGTTAGAATAAAGTGAATTGTCGTTGTTAACCAAAATTAATTTGTTAAGTAAAATTGTTTCTGTAAGTTGAATTTGATAAAACGATTTTACTTATTAAGATTTTGACAAATTCTTTATGATTTAATTTGTTTATCGTTAAAATTATTTTAATTGGTTAAATGTAATTTTCAATGTCGAAGTTGAACCATTTCAAAGTTAGTAATTTTAATCGTTATTTCAAGTAAAATCTCACCTAATTTTGATGATTTTTTTTTGGTTTTTCAAAATTCGATTCGTTCGATTCGATTTTAATTTTTCTAAAATATTGATAATTAATACTTATAACAGCAGAAACATCCTAAATATTAACAAAACATAATTTAAAAAACTCAAAGACTTATCAATACAAATATGATACATATACACGCGGGTTAACTTGTACGCCAACTTTTGACGTTTCTGAAATTCAAACACACACCATCAAACGAGTCGGCATGGGCGGGCAGATTTAAAACGTTTTAAGCCCGTTGCGATACTGTTATTGATCTTACAAACATTTCAGAAGATTTTTCATGATGATACCCCAGAAACACATCAATCGATATTTCCTAAGAGCCGACAATTAATTAAATTTTATTTTTTTACCATATTGATGACGATTCTGGAGAAATACATCAAAGAGAAGTTTATTATGCCGATTATTTGTTTTATTTAATTTCAATTCAATATGGATTATGATAATGATCTCAGAAAAACAATGCGGTTATGATATTGATGCTCAAAAATTAATTGAAAAATTTATTACATGACTGTTGAATGAAATTACGATACGTAAGATAACTCTGTCCATATATTAAGATATGGACACGCGCGCGCGCGCGCGTGTGTGTGTGTGTGTGTGTGTGTGTGTGTGTGTGTGTGTGTGTGTGTGTGTGTGTGTGTGTGTGTGTGTGTGTGTGGGTGTGTGTGTGATAAAAAAAGATATTAATTTGACACTTTGTTATAATGATTGTCAGATTCTGTGGATGGCTTTCTATAGGATTTTCGGTTTTGCGTTGAAACAAATGAGCCTTGTGAACATTTCTATTCATTTTAGTCGAAACAATTTTCTAAATTTCAGGGTGTCGTGGTTTTTCTCATTATTTTGAGGTTTTAATTAATTTCAAATGATATTTTGATCAATGTAAATTTATTAACTTGAAGATTTGAATTTTTTGAGGCATCATTTGCTGAAAAACATAAAATTATAACATTACTCAACACTGCTAAAAAGAATGTTTTTTATGTTAGTAATATTTGTTAGGAACAACAAAATTTAAGTTTGTAGATTTGTACAACTTTTTTCGATAACTTTTGACATTAAAAGTTTTATTCATCATTAAATTAGCGAATCAATCAATAGATAAATTCATCAATCAACTAATCATTCAGTCGAAAGTTGGTAGTCGGTCGATCGGTTTTCGGACGGTCGGTCAGTCAGTTTTACTGATTATTGTTTTTTCAATAGACGTTTTTATGATAAAAATTGGCAAACGAAATAAAAAGTCGTTTTTCGTTCAAGTGTAAACAAAATTTATTCCACGGCAAAAATTTAAATAAGAATTAAATTCTTAAATCAATTAAACTAAGGTTTTGTCCGGATGAAGATTATGTCGGTTTGACTTCCATCCTCTTCCTCTAGAATAGAATGGCTAGAATTAGTTGGCTTTTTGAACACAATGCGACAATTTTAATGGAGTGCGTGTCTGCAACCCATTTTGTAGACGAAAGTACTTTGCACAAATTCTTCGTTCGTTCATGAACGAAGAATTTTGACGTATGGCAGAAAATATTTCATATTTTCCATTTTCTCGTGACGGAAATTATCTTTGAAACAAATTACAAAATGCCACGGGCAAAGTAAGACTGATTACAAAGGGATGTTTAGTGTCATTCATTGACAGGTCTTTGACAGTAGTGACATTTAATATTAATAAAACAAAGTGACTTATGTAATTCACTCTACTAAATAAAAATTTGATTAGTGTAATTATTTCAGTAATTAAAAGATATGATAAGAAAGTAGTGCAAAATAAATTTTGACAAAATTATGTTCTTTTTTGAAAGTTTCAAGGCGTGAAAATCATTAATGTATTTTCTTAAAAATTTATTATCTCTGATTATTTTAAATTAGCCTTAATGAAAGTAGCGGTTCTACGGTTAACGATAGTAGAATTATATCGCTACTTATTTTTTCTAACTTTGATTTCAGATCATTTCAAATTCGCCATTTCAATTTCTGTTTCATATCAATATTTGCATAATATTGATAATTTTTGCTATTATCAAATTTATTAAAATTCTTCCAGTAATAATAATAATAATTATTAATGAATCAACTTCAAGGTTAGTAGCAACAGTAATAATAATTAACCGTAGGAATAATACTAGAGAATTTACATGTAGGTACACATGCATATTTATTACATGTTTTTAGGCAGGATAATTGTATTGTATTGTTATAATATTTATGTAAAGAGCAAATAAATAACATGTGCGAACATGTTCGAAGTTAAAGTTGTTGTAGGTGCAAAATAGAACATAAGCCAATAATGAGAAATAATAAGTTGGAACAATAACACAATGGACAAAAATAGTCGACAGCTGGAAAATCCGACGCAGATATAAAGCATAGATTGATAAATGCAGTGGCGTCACTAGGGTTGGTGTCACCCGGTGCGGTAACTCATGGTGTCACCCCTCTCATGACACCCCATAGACATACAGCATTCTTAGCAAAATTTATAAACACGAACAAGTTAAATGTGCTCGGCCGCGGCGCTTAATAATTCGGACGTCGAATTTGAATGGTATAAATGTCGAATACAAAAATGATTTGAACGAAAAAAATTTTATTCATAATACATTTCTGGGCGCTGGGCGGGTTAGGCTGAATTAATGATAAGAATAATTTCATGGAGGGACATAAAAACATATAGAGTGATATTTTGGTGTCACCCCCTGTGAGTGTGTCACCCGGTGCGGTCCGCACCCCCCGCACCCCCCTAGTGACGCCACTGGATAAATGAACAATGATATTTGATGAACAACAAAATAAAATTCAGTATTTGTTAATGAAACAAAGGTGGCAAATCTGAACAACGTTGAATGGGAGAACAAAATTTTGACTATTTTGAAATTTGACCGCAATTTTGGTCGGTGTGGCCAAAATTAGGCTGGTGGCCTTTATTACTTAATTTTTGGTTCATAACTTGGTAATTGACAAAATACTAAAAAAGAGAAAAACGTGATAAACTCAAGATGCTATGAAAAATAATAAATCATTCGTTGGAAACATTTAAGATGTATATTGAAAATATTATTTCATAGCTCCGTGCTCTTCGTTTCTGAGAATTTTTTCAAAAATGTAAGTCTTGTTCATCATCAAACGAATCAATCAATAAATCGATTGATAAATAAGTAAATTATTCAATCGATCAATCAATTAGTCAATCAGTCAATTAATCAATTGGTTACTCAAACAAAAATTGCCTAAATAAATATGGTTATACAAAATTAACATTTTTGTTTTTTTTCTAAAAAAATCGAACCGTTTTTTTATTTTCAAAAAACTTTATTTACAATGAAAGCACGTAAAAATTTATTTCATTGCAAGAAAAAATAATGATAACGATCGGGTCAAGAAAAAAAAGTTTTGTCCGGATGAAGATTATGACGGTTTGTTTTACTGCCTGCCATCTCTTCGTCTGCAATGTTTGTGCGGCAGTACGGACAACTGGTTTTGTTTTCAAGCTATGTGTCCAAAAATTTGAAATGGAAATGCGTGTCTGCAACCCATTTCGTAGACTAAAGCACTTCGCGTAAACGTTTCGTTGCATATGCAACACTCTTCGTTCATGAACTTGTTTCTGATATTTATATTTTTCATTTTCTCGTGACGGAAGGTATCTTTGAAACAGATTTTTCTTTTGATATTGATGCCATCATCAGGCATCGTTATGTCTACTCGGTGCTCTACTGTTTCTTCTGCCAAAATATTGGAACGGTGACAAACTTTTAATTTTTTCATTATATCGTACTGATCATGAAGAGGCAATGAATTGAAGTTGGAAGTTCTTCGGATTAATGTATCCAACCAACCGGATTTGCCTATAGGAACAATTTTCGAAAGTTTTTTCATTTCACGCTTCGGCAAATCCCAGTTGTTTTCAATCAGATGTCTTTCTAATTAGGCAACGTCTCTTTTAATCTCACTTTCAATGAATTCAGTCGTGTATTCTTTGACGGCTTCTTTAACACATATCATCATTTCGATTGAGTTTATATTCTCCATAATCTGATATTTATTTCACCTCGCATGTTTCAAGTCGAATACTTCTAATTTCTAGCTACTAGCTAGTTTAATTTTCAAAACTTTACAGACTTTTTGTTTAGCATTTCTTTAAAAAAAGTGGTCTCCAGCTTCAGTGAGAATAAAGTGAATTAGTTTATTCAATTTAGTTAATGTAACTGTCTTGAGCAAATTTTTTTGATTACGTTAAAATTAATTTAAAGTAAATGGGAATCAAATTAATAAAATTAAATCTTTTATATTCAAATATTTTTTCATTGTGAAGATATATCGATATACGATTTATTTCGATTAATCAGCAGTTATATTGATTATGATTCAACAAAAACCTATAGAAAGAAAATATTTCAAGCCGATTATTAGTTTTATTACATTGCAACGTAGAAACTGAAAGAAGATATTTAAAGTGTTTTTCGGAATTTAAATAATTTCAAATATGATTCAATTTGAAATCATAAAATTATTAAATTATTAAAAAACAATTCAATAAAAATTAGGTGAGATCAGAATGATGATGATGACGGTTTGACTGCCATCCTCTTCCTCTCTAACGTAATGCTTGGTGTCAGTTGACTTTTTAAATACAACAGCTTTATGGCAGTACGGACAAATTGTTTTGTTTTCTAGCCAAGTGTCCAAACATTTGAAATGGAATGCGTGTCTGCAACTCATTTCGTAGACGAAGGAACTTTGCACAAATTCTTCGTTGCATATGCAACATACCTCGTTCATAAACTTGTCTCTGACGTACGGCAGAAAATATTTCATATTTTTTTATTTTCTCCTGACGGAAGGTATCTTTGAAACAGATTTGTCCTTTGATATTGATTCCTTCATCAGGCATCGTTATGTCTAGTCGGTGCTCTACTGTTTCTTCTGCCAAAATATTGGAACGGTGACAATCTTGTAAATTCTTCATTATATCGTACTGTTCATGAAGAGGCAATGAATTGAAGTGCGACGTTCTTCGGATTAATGTATCTACCCAACCGGATTTGCCTATAGGAACAATTTTCAAAAGTTTTTTCATTTCACGCTTCGGCAAATCACAGTTGTTGTTTTCAACCAAATATCTTACTAATTTGGCAACATCCTTTTTGATCTGACGTTCAAATCTGCTTTTGCTTTTTCTGGTCCTTTTCTCTGGAACTCTCTACCTACTTCTCTAACTATTTCTCCATCACTTGCGAAGTTCAGAGCGGATCTCAAGACCCATCTGTTTTCAAAATTCATTGAGGAGCGCTGTTGAACATCGCGGAAATAGCGCTTTATAAGCTAATTGATTGATTGATTGATTGATTGATCTATGAATTCATCCGTGTATTCTTTGACGGCTTCTTTAACCCATTTTATCATTTCAATTGAGTTTAAATTCTTCTTAATTTGATTTGTATTTCACTTCGTATATTACAAATGGAACATTTCTAACTTCAAGCTAGACGATTTTTGAATGTTTAAAAACACTACCAACTCTTTATTTATATTGGAATGAAACAAAAAAAATTCAAATTGCTACTTAAATGCAAAGTAAGACTAATTACACTGAAAAGTTTCGTGTCATATGGTTGTTAAGTTTTATGTTTTATATTAAAACATTATGATTTATAATATACATTTATTTTTCTTTGGACCAAATGTTCTTTGCTTTGTATGTAACTTCACTTTTTCTTTTTCTGCTGATCCGGTGGATAATAAACAAGTCGAGAACGTTGCTTAGTTTATTTCTCTTCTTTTAATGTCTTTCAATATTATATCAATTAATTAAACGATCTACGTAACAAGAAATTTAACAGGTTATGGGACCCAGATAACGTTTTTCTTAATTAATTGATTTGACGAAGAAAATTTAGAATAAAGAAATATCAGAAGATTCCTTTGTGAAGACTGAAGTGAAGAGAAAGCACGTGCTTCTTCATTTTCTGAAAATCGATATTTTGCTTCTAATTAAAAAGTCAAATTGAAAAGACAAGGAAGAAATGGATTTAACAAAAGTGCAAATCAAACACCTAGAAGGCAAAAGTAATTGGTTGAACTGGAAATCGAGGGTTTGTATAATACTACGTAGCATTCCTGATGCAATGGATGTAGTAAATGGCAAATTAAAGGTTCCAGATGAATCGAACGATGATGACTCAAATAAAGATGAGATAGCAAAATATCAAACTACTTTGAACAGTTTCAACAGAGCAGATTGTAGTGCTATGATTGTTCTGTCAACCAACATGGCCGATGAAACATATGAAAAGTATAAGACTGAACTTAGCCACAATGACCGACCTATATAATTTTATAAGCAATCTTCGATGCCAACTATACACACGTTAAAAAGCCAACTATACACACGTTAAAAAAGAGATAAACGTAAAAGAGAGGGTACAGCAAGCCTGCATGCATATGCGATATATGTTATATTATGTTATATGATATATGCTGTTTAAATAGCAGCTGACATGTATGCATGTTATTATAAGCTTATATACTATATTATGTTATATGCTGTTAAGTGGCAGCTAACAGGTATGCATATATACATGTACATATAATTATATAGTTATATATCGATGGTATAAAAATATATAATACTGTAGTTGTGTGTATTTGATAATCCTATTAATTTCTATTATTTATTAGTAAATTAAATTTTGTGTGGTGTAAATATTAGATAATAATTATTTTTCTGCTGTATTTGTAGAAAAACATACACAATGAACACACAATGCAGTTTTTTAAATCAATAACGATTAAAAAAAAACTTTTGCCTTTTCTTGATGATCCTACTCTTCTCCTTCTTGTTACTTCGTTAGTCTTATCTAGGATTGATTATTGTAACTCGCTCTACTATGGTCTACCTGACTCTATACTCTATCCTTTAAGTAAAGTTTTTAACTCTGCTGCTCGTCTAGTTGCTCGTGCCCTTTCTTTTCTCATATATCTCTATATCTTGTTCTCTTGCACTGGCTACCTATAAAATATAGAATAATTTTTTAAATTTGCGCGTTCATGTATAAGTCTCAATCTAAATTATTTCCTAAGTATTTATCAGATATATTAATTGAACCTAAACGCCCCGGTTTACGATCGTCTTCTTCTCGCTTTTTCTTAACTCGTGTTAAACACTCTTTTGCCAAATTTGCTTTTTCTGGTCTTTTTCTCTGGAACTCTCTACCTACTTCTCTGACTACTTCTCCATCACTTGCAAAGTTCAGAGCGGATCTCAAGACCCATCTGTTTTCAAAATTCATTGAGGAGCGCTGTTGAACATCGCGGAAATAAGCTTTTTAAGCTAATTGATTGATTGATTGATTGATTGATAGTTAACAGTTATAGAAACTCAATTCTATTTGTTAATCATTAGCAATAAATAAATAATTTGAAAAATTTATATCAACTACATATACTTGAAATTAGGGATGCACCGAAGTTTGGCCCCGGTTAAAATCCGGCTTTTTTTTAGATTTGGTGGCCGAATTTAAGCGTCTATCAACATTTAAAAATGTTATAAATAGAAATTTTTTTTATTGAATTCAATTAATTTTACGTCAATAAGTTAAAGGCTAAGCATATATGACACATAATAACAACATCACTAATTGTGAGGTGAGCTGGACAATTTTTTTTATGTTATAACATGGGTTATGCATAAGTTATGAGCTGATCTTTGTGTAAAAGAACTTGTGCACGTGTATATACTATGTAATTGTATATAATGGATCATATAGCTACATATTATTTATATATATAGACATAAGCGCATAATTTAAGAGCATGGTATGTTAAAGGTCAGGCTAGGCATACATGACACATAATTACAACATCACTAATTGTGAGGTGAGCTGGACAATTTTCTTTGTGCTATAACATGGGTTTTGCATAAATTATAAGCTGTGCAAGTGTGCACGTGCATACATGGCACATAATAGCAACATCACTAATTGTGAGGTGAGCTGGTCAATTTTCTTTATGCTATAACACGGGTTATGCATAAGTTATAAGCTGATCTTTGATAACAGAATTTGGCATATCACACAACTTATTTATATATTTGAATTAATTAACTATTTGCTTGGTGTTATTTTTTGATGTTCAACATAACCGTAAATTTGAGTATTTTTTTAACGTATGTAAAATGGTAACTAAAATCCGGTTTAAATTTAGTGTGTTTAAGCGTCTCTCTGGTTACTATTTTAATAAAATGACAACACAATTTCACTTGTACAATTTTAATTGGAATGACGTCACTGGTTGCCCATTTCATTGCATATTGCAAATACGTCGGAATTTCCATCGTGTTAAATCCTTTCAAAACAGCCTCAATAAGTGCCATAGAAAAATCGGTTACAACATTCGAATACAAAGGCCATTCTTTCAATTTTTTTGAGACGTAGTGCTTATAGTCAATAAGTACTTGACTTATGTGATCCACGTCGTGCCTACATGTTACAAAGTCGATCATTGGAATTATTCTATTATCTACTGAAATAACACCAGTGTAATAAAAAATTCTCTTTAGCTATGAGCTGGTCCTTCTTATCACCGATCCTGTCGAATCAAAATACAACACTGGCAATATGTTCTTTTTTTGGTTCGTTTAGCAACTTCAACCTGTTTGTATGAATATGAAACGATGCATAACGGCTCACTAACATGTTGTATAAAACTATCACTAACTGAAGCAAGTAGTTCTTTTCTTAGCTTTATAATTACATCAAAAACGTCATCTTTATCCTCATCGTCAACACTCAATGACTCAGATCTAGCATTAGCTAAAACGTTATTTGAGTGAATTTGCACAATGAAGTGTGTTTCTTTTTCGGATTTTGAACACCCTGGAAGGCTGTTTTTTTCAGTGGCTGATGTATTGTTAGAAAGCTATTTTAATTCTACATAAGTGGTAGAAATCTTTTTTTGAGGCCGCAATTATGAATAGTGAAAAAAAATATTTTTGTGATTCGATGCACAATGTAAATGTTTTAGTTTTTCGAGTTTTGAACACCCTGGAAGGCTGTTTCTTTTAGTGGCTGATATATTGTTAGAAAGGTAATTTAATTCTACATTAGTCGTAGAAATCTTTTTTTGAGGCTGCAATTATGAATGGTGAAAAAAAATATTTTTGTGATTTGATGCACATTGAAGTGTGTTTGTTTTTCGTGTTTTGAACACCCTGGAAGGCTGTTTTTTTCAGTGGCTGATATATTGTTAGAAAGGTAATTTAATTCTACATCATTGGTAAAAATCTTTTTTTGAGGCCGCAATTATGAATAGTGAAAAAAAATATTTTTGTGATTTGATGCACATTGAAGTGTGTTTGTTTTTCGTGTTTTGAACACCCTGGAAGGCTGTTTTTTTCAGTGGCTGATATATTGTTAGAAAGGTAATTTAATTCTACATCAGTGATAGAAATCTTTTTTTGAGGCCGCAATTATGAATGGTGAAAAAAATATTTTTGTGATTTGATGCACATTGAAGTGTGTTTGTTTTTCGGGTTTTGAAAACCCTGGAAGGCTGTTTTTTTTAGTGGCTGATATATTGTTAGAAAGGTAATTTAATTCTGCATAAGTGGTAGAAATCTTTTTTGGAGGCCGCAATTAATAATATTTTTAATCGATTTTTATGTTCAACTTACTGTCAATTTTTTTATGTTGTTCAATACATCATACAATCATTGTTCATACATGCGTTACTTAAATATATAGAATACATACTTTTCATACATTTCAATGATCAGTTAAGGATTTATATAGCTATACAATTATTGGTAACATATATGAACATCTGCTGTGCATTCAGCAGATGGTCCTCTCTTTTTTCACGATCTCTCCGCGCACATAATATATAGGTCGGTCATTGTGGCTGGTGGCTAAGTTCAGAATCATTAAAAAAGTTCGTTCATTTAGTAATGCCAGAGATGTTTGGTTAGAACTTCACAGATTGTACGATGAAGTTAATGAAGATAAAGCATACAACTTGTGCATGAAGTTCTTTAGTTATAAAATGGATGAAAGCGATTATGTTGTCACTCATGTCACAAAACTCAAGAATCTTTGGAAAGATTTAAAGGTTGAGTTAGGAAAAGATGAAAACAGTGACCTGTTGCTGATGTGCCAAATAATTGAAACTTTGCCAGAAAAATATTTTTCATTTGCTGCAAGTTGAAGATTGTTGAACAAGACTGAAAGAACAGTCGAAACACTCACAGATCAACTGTGTAGCTATGAGAGATCTTTGGAAGGCAAAACAGAATGTAATAAAGTATTATTTGTCAAAGCAACAACTAAAAGGTCATCATCACTAAACATGAATGGTCAAAAACAAGATAAATTTGTCAGCAAACAAAAGCGACTGATATGTCATTATTGCAAATTGCCAGGTCACATTGTAAGAAATTGTGAAAAATGGCATTCTGGTGGTAGACCAGCAAAACCAAGAAATAACAATCTACGCGATGACAATAAGTCACTAGTTGTTATGGAATCAAGTGTTTTTGCAATTGATGAGTCAGCGTACACTGATGAATGGGTTTTTGACAGTGGTGCAACGTGTCATCTAACTTTCCGAAGAGACATATTTCAAAGTTTTGAAAAATTTTCTCAACCGAGTAAATTATATGTTGCAAATGGTGATACTGTAGAAGCTTTTGGAATAGGAATTATTCATCTTCAAGTGAAAGTGAATAATAAATGGCAAACTGTTAAACTTACAGATGTCTTGTATGTGCCAAAAGTAAAAAGAAATTTGTTCTCAGTACTTGCAACTCAAGATAAGAACAGAAATGGCTCTTTTGTTTCAACTTCAAGAAGTTGTCATCTACTTATTGACAATGTGATAAATGTTGTTGGAATAAGAAACAACAATGGAGGTTTGTTCAAACTTGTTGCAAAAACTGTTAGACCGTTGAATTCTGAAGTCGAAGTTAACTTTGTCAATGAATAAGATGCATTGCAGTTATACCATGAAAAAATGGGACATCAGAATAAGAAACGTGTTAAAATGCATCGATCAAGAGATGTTATTTTTGATGAGAAGGTTGTCAAACCAAATTCAATTCAGTGTTTTTGCAAGAAGAAAGTTGTTCAGATGATACAGTTTCGATTGATGTTGAAATCAAAGATGAAAATAAAGAAACTTTGATTAAAGAAAATATTTCAACTGATGAAGATGTTCACAACCGATAAAGAAGAACTAAAAATATTTGAAAAAGAATTAAAGCCAGAGTTCAAGATAACATTTAAACCTGCAACATATTTCCTTGGATAGAGATTAATCAAGATGAGAAAGGAAATATTAATGTCAGTCAGTCATCCTATACAAGAATGATTCTTGAAAAGTTTGAGATGAGCCAGTGTAAATCCTGTACAACTCCGATTTCAAAATCTGAGGAGTTCGATGAAAACAAAAATGAACACGAGGAAGTGAAATTTCCTTACAGATCAGCAGTTGGTGCATTGATGTACTTGATGACGGGAACAAGACCAGATATTGCATATGCAGTTGGAGTAGCATCCAGAAGTTTGGAGAAACCCAGCAAGTCCAATGTAGCACAAGTCAAGCAAATTTTCAGATATTTGCAAGGCACAGCTGATGTCGGTATTGTTACAATACACTTATAGCCTACAGTGATGCAGATCATGGAGGAGATAAATCTAGTGGAAGATCGACATCAGGTGTAATCTGTATGTTTGGAGGAAGTGTGATCAGTTGGTTTAGCCAACCCTCAGTTGGTTCAACCCTCAGTTGCGATTTCAACTACTGAAGCAGAAATTGTTGCCGCAAGTGAAGCAGCTCGTGAAGTGATATGGCTCAAACGATTGTTGAACGACATTGTAGATCTAAAGAAAAAGCCAGAAATTTTTGTCGACAATGAAGCAGCAATTCGTTTAGCACACAATCCAGAACTTCACTGAAGAACAAAGCACATCCACATTAGATATTTCTTTGTCAGAGAAAAAGTTGCAGAAGAAGAAGTTTCAGTTGATCGAGTTGCGACAGAACTTCAAGTTGCTGATGCTCTGACAAAACCAATGGTAGGACCAAGACTAAAGAATCTGATGTGCGCGATGGGTCTTCAGAACATTTAGGTTAAGGTCATCTAATGTTTAAAATAAAATGAGAAGGTGTTAAGTTTTATGTTTTATATTAAAACATTATGATTTATAATATACATTTATTTTTCTTTGGACCAAATGTTCTTTGCTTTGTATGTAACTTCACTTTTTCCTTTTCTGTTGATCCGGTGGATAATAAACAAGTCGAGAACGTTGCTTAGTTTATTTCTCTTCTTTTAACGTCTATCAATATTATATCAATTAATGAAACGATCTACGTAACAAGAAATTTAACAATGGGGACTGGTTTTGACAATAGTGACATTTAACATTCATAAAACAAAGTAAGTTATGAAATTCACTTTACTAAAGAGTTTTGTATAATATTTTCAGTAGGTATAACTAAAAATAATGGATATATAATTTTTAGAAGCAAATGGCTAATAAATTAATATCATTAAATTTTATAAAATCGAAAAGTAGCCAACTAAGAATTTTGTTTGAGCTATGTGCTGCTTATTTCAATTTCCAACTTTCCATCGTTTTCTCGTCGATTTGGGGCCGTCCATAAAGGATGTCACACTTCAAAGGGGGTCCAAATATTTGTGACACTTTATGACGAGGGAAAGAGGAGGGTAAATGCAAGTGTGACATCCCTTTTTTCAATTTCCAAATTTATTAGTTAGTCTTATGTTGAAAAATAAAAAAAGTCCTTCCAAACAGCTTGTCTCAGTTTTCACATGTTTTTATACGTGGTTATATAATGCTTCAATTGTGATGGCAAAAAGGCATCAAGTGATTTACAAAACATTTATATTTAAGCATAATAAAGTTAGACCTGTCTTTGTAAAGTACTGACCAGTCTTTGGCTTCTTCAAAATCAATCTCTGCTGCCTTCAGATATCTTCTCAGTCTTGGTATTTCTAATAAAAGCTCTATTTCTGATAACTCATCATAGAATGTGGTCAATTTTGGAATGTTTACCAATAACTCTTCTTCAGTAGCAGATATCAAACTCTTGGCTTGAACAACCTCAAACATGGCTGCTACTTCCTTGATGGCTCTTGATCTGATCTGGAGTTCAGAATGGAAACGATCAATACACTCATACATCGCTCTCTTGTTTTCTTCCTGTAGAGTAAGTCCAGCATCTCTCGTCTTCTCGCGCTCGCCTGCCATCCTCTTCTTGAACCTGGGTCTGCTCTCTACTGAAATTCCATATTGGTCTGATTTTATAAGTGCCTGTTCAATTGCCTGCTCCACAAGATGATTGCGCTTCTCATACATAAAAAGTCTTAGTGTCTCTAGCTTTGTCACCACCTTGTCAAGACTTAAGCCCTTAGTCTGAAGGTACAGCTGCGTTAGATTTACTTCTTCAAGTACATCACACCAAAAGAAGAGATAGCACAGAAAAGTGAAATTGCAGATAGTAGGTAAAAGACCTCGGGCTGTACCTCTAGTGTCTAGATTTTCCCCTGGATCACAAAGAGCTTCTATTGCCGTCACACATTCATCAAATTTTTCTTTCACTGCCTTTACTGCTGCGTGATGAGAACTCCAGCGTGTTGTTGATAATCTTTTTAATGAAACTCCAGTGTGGTTCATTAAAACATCCCATCGGTGAGTGGAAGCAGCAAAGAATGAAAACATTGTCTCAAGAGTTCCAAAAAAAGTCACGCACAAAGCATTTTCAGCAAAAGAGTGTTGGCCACACAAGTTAAGAGAATGATCCACACAACCATTAAAAATAGCTTTCCTGTTCTTTCTTTTCAAAATGGCTTGTACACCCCCATGGATTCCAGCCATAGTCGCAGCATTGTCGTAACCTTGAGCGCGGCACATCATAAAGTTGAGTCCATCACTTTCCAAATTTTCGAGAATATCAGAACTGAGATCAGCAGCTTTTTTCCCTTTTAAAGGAAAAAATCCCAGAAACACTTCTCTTACTTCAACTTTTCTATTATAAATTTTCACATATCTGATAATTTCAGACATTTGGTCATTGTGTGATGCGTCAGGTGTGCTATCAAACATGATACCAAAATACCGGGCAGATTTTATATCCATGATAAGCTTCTCCTTCACATGATTTGCTAGGACATGAATAAACTCATTCTGAGTATTTGGTGCAAGATAAGATGC